AGCAGTCACAGTGTGGGGGGGGGTCCATCACAGGGACACATAGAGACAAACAAGACAAACAACCATTCACGCTCTCACTCACACCGAAGGACAATTTAATGTTATCAGTTAGCCTAACATTTATATTTTCGGTCTGTGGGAGGGAGGAACCTGGAGTGCCCGAAGAACACCGAGAGAACATACAAACTATCCACCCACAGGTCCCCGGCTGGGATTCATTGGACATTTTTGCTTTTAAGAAAAGACACTTACTCACCAGAAATACTCATATAAGTAATGGTTAAAAAGCTTTCAAAAGTGCTGTGCTTCTCAGAGGAATAAGTGTGACCATTCATAAATATAAGAAACGTTTATTTGTTACTTTAAATGGATTATTAAAGGCTTAGAATATTATCATATAAATAAAGAAATAATAATACTGTGTCAAACAAAGGAAAAGCTGGTTTAATTTTTCTCTTCAGCTTATGAGCTGAAGTCAGTCAGTTTAGATTTATCAAGTAGAGATGTCTTCATTTCTAAATGGTTTTTAATTTGAATTTCATTGCTTCAACCAATGGTGTGATTTCCTCATTAATTTACCATTTATATTGTGTTGTATCATTTTCTCTTGTTTTGTGTCTCACTCACTCTATTTATCTGACTATTCTTTCATTTAAAGCTACCGGAAGGTTCCAGGAAACCAATGTGAAGGAGGTTTTCAGCCAGAGAGGAAGGAGACCGACTTGATGAAGCTGTGCACCAGCAACGCCCTTTACCCCAATTCTCTGGTCAGTCCTGCTCATTTGACTAAACAGGAAAGATAAATACACAGTAAAACCTAATCTTATTGCAAAAATAGTGCAATAGTGGAACCTCATGTCATTAATTATCAAAAAAAAGTTAAAATGGGAAAATTGAGTAGGAAAAAAATGGTACATTAGGGTAATGCGATGGAAAGATAAAAGCTTATGGGCAGATTGAGCATCATGATCCCAGTCTCTTTGACTTACCAGACCCTCGCTTATTTTTCACTGATGCCCTAAATTTTCCATTTTAGACAAAAATGTCTTTGCAGCATTTTTATTGCTATTATTCTGTTTCTGCCAATCTTTCTTAAAGGGGCAATATTATGTGTTTCTCAGGCATACATTGAAATACTATACCATAATAACGTATCTATGTCACATTTAGCTGTTATTAAAATGGCRTTTTTATGTTTAAATAGAAAATAAACTTATTTTCTCATCACTTGATCTTCAAAAYGCCTTGAAATTGCCCTCTGTTTCTTTAAAAACCACCTTCCGCTTCTGTCCCGTGGGTTTCGCACGTGCGCTATGATGCAGTTTACTTGGCATCTGAAAATACATTTCCTCAAAGGTATTTTTAATCTGAAAAGAGCTTCACT